GGGCCGGGCGGGCGCCGTGACTCGGCGGGTCCCCGAGGAGGCGGGGGCCGACCGGGACCTGGGTCAGGCCTTGGGGGGTGCGGGGCGAGGCTCCGGGAGGGCCTAGGGAGGAGGGGAAGGGGCGTGCGGGTGGGAACGGTGAGACCCCGGGGGGAGGGGGCGCTTTGGGGCTGCTGGGCACCGGGCCGGGGAGGCAGAAGGTGGGTGGGAGGGAAAGCGGGGACTCGGGACCTGGCCCGGGGGGGTCGGAGGGGGAAATGGGGACCGGAGGGTCGGCGCAGAGACTGACTGGGAGGAGAGATGGTTTTCGAGGCCCTGGGTGGAACGGGAGGCCCTTGGTGGGGCTAAGGCCGGTGCTGGTGAGCTCTGCTCTGTAACAGATGGAGATGGACGATGGGAAAGGCGGCACGGGGCTCCGGCAGTACTACCTGTCCAAGATCGAGGAGCTGCAGGTGAGCCAGTCCCCGCTGCACAGCAGCCTGCCCCAGAACGGCATCGCTGCGGCTCCAGCCAGGACTGCGTGGCCGCGTCCCTACGCCTGCGCTTGCCTCGAGAGCACCCACGGTCTTTGCCGTGCTGCGGGTGCCCCGTTCGGGGCGCGAGGAGGAAGCAGTGCCCCAGGGTGGTATCTACAAGCAGGACCTAGCTTTTGAGTGGTGCAGGCGTATGAGATGACCCTCAGTCCTGCGAGCTGACGGCGCTGCTGTGCGTGCGTGAGGTGTTGCCCAGCCCTCTGCAGTGGGGTTTGGCTGGCTGCATCCTGCTGGGAAGGGCTGTACCCTCCTGGTGCCTGTCCCAAGACAGAGGCCATTGTGCTGGTGCCCGATGATGTGAGTGCTGCCCGGGATGTGGAGGACTCAGCAAAGCTTTTCTCCCAACAGCTCATCGTGAACGAGAAGAGCCAGAATCTGCGGCGCCTGCAAGCACAGAGGAATGAGTTGAATGCTAAAGGTACGGCTCGGCTCCTCTCGTCTTTCTTGCCTGGGGCTCTGTGGCTGGTCCTGCCTGTGGGGCTGGTGGCTCCTGGCCTGGCTACTGGCCACTGTGGCGAGTGCTGCCCCTCCGTCGTGGGCAGGGGGTCTGGGCGTGGGTGCCTGTGGCCGGTGCTGACATCTCTCTCTCTGCAGTGCGCCTGCTGCGGGAGGAGCTACAGCTGCTGCAGGAGCAGGGCTCCTATGTGGGAGAGGTGGTGAGAGCCATGGACAAGAAGAAAGTGCTCGTCAAGGTACAAGGCTGAGCTGTTCCGAGGGCAACCGGGGCTGGGGGGAGCGGGGTGGGGTCCGACAGAGCCTCCCTTTGACCCCACGGGGGTTGGAGCAAGCGTGAGCATGAGCTCTGGGGGGATGTAACAGCCAAAAGAAGTGAAGGGAGAGCTCTTTCTCCAGAGGAGCACACTGCAGCGGCTCTTCTGAGCCCAGACCTTCCCAGGGCGGTGGGAGGCAGCTGCCTTAGGGCTTCCTGGGGGCATGAGGGGGCTGCAGGGAGTTTGGCGGTGGCTGAGCTCTCTGGCTCCTTCCTCCCGCTCCGAGCAGCCGGTGCGGATATCGGATGTGCAACAGGGGACTTCTCGGAGAAATAACTCTCACGGTGGCAACTGCCGCCTTCCAGGTGCACCCAGAAGGGAAGTTTGTGGTGGACGTGGACAAGAACATCGACATTAACGACGTGAGTATCCTGGGGACGCGACTGCTCCCTCCGGGCAGCCTGGCGCTGCCTGCCCCCTCCCCTGCCGCGGGGATGCCGAGCTCCGCTCTGCTCTTGCCGCAGGTGACCCCGAACTGCCGCGTGGCCCTGCGCAACGACAGCTACACGCTGCACAAGATCCTGCCCAACAAAGTGGACCCTCTCGTCTCCCTGATGATGGTGGAGAAGGTTCCGGATTCCACTTACGAGATGATCGGGGGCTTGGACAAGCAGATAAAGGAGATCAAGGAAGTGATCGAGCTGCCGGTCAAGCACCCTGAGCTTTTTGAGGCGCTGGGGATCGCCCAGCCCAAGGCAAGTGCTGCTGCTGTGGGCCTGGGGTAGGGGTCAGCGTTGCCACAGCCTTTTGTCACCCTTTGGGACGTCCCCGTGTCTCCTGTCGGGGTGCGGCTGCCCGTGCGGGCACGGAGAGCGGTGCTGAGGTCCCCGCGCGGCCATTGCAGGGCGTGCTGCTCTACGGACCCCCCGGCACAGGCAAGACCTTGCTGGCCAGGGCTGTGGCCCACCACACCGACTGCACCTTCATCCGTGTCTCAGGCTCCGAGCTGGTGCAGAAGTTCATCGGTGAAGGTAAAAGGGCGCCAGGGGAGGCGGCCGCTTGTGCCGGAGCCCCAGCGAGGGCTCCGGTGATGCTGGGTGGCTTCGGGACAGACGGAAGCACTGTGGCTGTGCGGAGCTGTGCGTGGTGCCAGGGCTCGGCCCTCTCTGCTCCCCGCAGGCGCCCGCATGGTGCGGGAGCTGTTTGTGATGGCCCGGGAACACGCGCCCTCCATCATCTTCATGGACGAGATTGACTCCATCGGCTCCTCCCGCCTGGAGGGGGGCTCCGGCGGGGACAGTGAGGTGCAGCGCACGATGCTGGAGCTCCTCAACCAGCTCGATGGCTTTGAGGCCACCAAGAACATCAAGGTAGGAGGGTGCCGTCCCTGCCTGGGCCCTGCGGTGGCAGCGGGGTGGCCGGAGCGGTGACAGTTGCTCTCCCCATCCAGGTGATCATGGCCACGAACCGGATCGACATCCTGGACTCGGCTCTGCTGCGCCCTGGCCGCATCGACAGGAAGATCGAGTTCCCCCCGCCCAACGAGGAGGTAGGCGGGGGACCCCTCCGCACGCCCCAGCTCTCCCTTGGTCCCCTGCTGTCCCCGGGGGGGAGCATGTTGTCCCCAGCCCTCTCGGGCGTGATTCCCGTGACTTCAACCCTGCCTTTGCTGCTGCTCTCCTCCAGGCCCGCCTGGACATCCTCAAGATCCACTCTCGGAAAATGAACCTGACGCGAGGCATCAACCTGCGGAAGATCGCCGAGCTGATGCCGGGGGCGTCGGGCGCGGAAGTGAAGGTGAGCCGGGGGCGCGGCGGCGGCGGGGCTGGCGGAGGGGGAGCGGCGGGTGACGTCCTTCCGATCTGGGTGTGCACAGAAGCTGGCATGTACGCGCTGAGGGAGAGGCGGGTGCACGTCACGCAAGAAGACTTTGAAATGGCTGTCGCCAAGGTAAGCGCCGCGGGGGAGGCGAAGGGGGGGCTGCTGGCGGGTTCCTCCCAGAATGGGGAGCTCTGGGGACAAAGAACGGTGTCAAGGGGGATGTCCCCAAGTTCTTAAGCTGTGGGTGACACGGAAGAGTCGGTGGAGACCCCTCCCGGGGCTGCGGTGCGCAGCCGGAGCCTGGCTGGAGCTGGAGGCTGCAGTGCCTTCCCCGTGCATCGGTATTGGGGTGCTTTTGGGGTTATTGGCACCCAAATGGGGGAGCAGGAGGGGGCCTGGAACCAAGCGTCTCCTCCTCCCTGCCCAGGTGATGCAGAAGGACAGCGAGAAGAACATGTCCATCAAGAAGCTGTGGAAGTAACGGTGAGGCTGGGGCGGCTCCCGGGGCCGCGTTGTCTCAATAAAGTGCTGCTATGGCCACGCCTGCGCGCTGATTTGGGGAACAGGGGGGTGGAGGACTTCAGCACACGCACACAGAGCTGCTGCTAACTGGTTTTATTAGAAAATATCCAAAATAGACAAAAAATGGTTACACAAGAGGCAGAGCAGGCACCCCTGAGCCGTACACCCTGGGAATATGTAAACGCCCCCCTCCCCTCTGCCTGCGCCCGCCCGGAGGAGGCTGCGCCGCGGGGAGCCTGCGG